TCTAACTCATAAAAATCACATTCCTCTGACTGCCCTTCACAAACCATCCTGCTGATTTGCTTCTGGGACTTTCCTGTGCGTCTGCACACAGGTCAAGTTGACCACATTTGCAGAAGTGAGAAAGTGAGAAAGGCCTCTTAATTAAAGATTGTCTTCAACTGCTTTCATTATTTAGCTTTAGAAACATTAAAATCATCCTTAGCACTTTGATTATTTTTTGATTAACGTGATCCTCAAGGCCTCAGCTGTAGCTTTTGTCTCTGGGCTTTTTTAAATGGCTGTTACACTTAATCTTCAGTGCAGAGAATGGAGAACGTTGAAGGTGAACGATGAAAATAGAGTTATTATTGTTGTTACCAAGATGAAGAGCTAAAGGTAGTGCCCTGCCTTCAGTATAAGAGCATTCCTGGAGTGCACCCTCTGCAGTGTTAACCTGATAGTGTGGGACAAAGGGTCCTTGTGCAGCCCGCGCCTTTCCCATGCCGAGGAGGCAACTGACATTTCTATCTGAATATTTATTTACTTGTCTGACAACAGTTGGTCTTTTATTATGCTCCTTCACCAGGCTTTGAGGTTGGTTTGTTTGTCTCAGTGCAGATGAGCTTCCTGCTCAGGCTCGTGACTTTATTATTGTTTGTTATGTCTTGTTTTGTTCTGTATTGCAACTTTGTTTGAATCTTATTTCAGTAATATTAAGTTAAATGCAGCTTCTTCAAATGACATTTTTTACATTTGCACATTTAACTGATTAAAACAGAATCGGCTTCAACTCACATTTACAAAATAAGAACCAGTGTGTTTAACAATTTGGGCAGTGGCACAGCAGGGGTCCATCACGGTCAGAAACAGCAGGTAATTCAAAGTTTTTATTCAAGGTTAGAAAGCGAAAAGATGAAACAGAAAGGAGCTGATCTGCTGTCTTGTTGTGAAGAGTGACAGCTGTGAGGAAATGGTGCAATGAGAGGAAATGGCATCACACTCACACTGAGACAATCGTTGGTCTTCGACATATACAGCAACCAAATCCACCTCATAGCGGAAGAAAATGGATGGATGGATGGAATCCATCTCATCTGTCTTGTAGCGCTGCTGTACGTTATCTTTATGTTACAACATATATGTGATGCCACATATGTGAATTTAGAAAATCACAATAATATTTCAGTCTTTACTTTGGTGCATTAAATGAAATGGCTATAACCAGCTGATATGGGCAGAAAGGCACAGCTGGCTCCCTCACACAGTCGTGTTGTTAGACACACCTGTGCTTTTTGGTGCTAGTGTTTTGTTTTAGCCAAGGATGTTAGGGTTATTTGTTTGACTGGGAGGGCTCTAGCATGCAGCGGTAGAGCTCCTTTTATTATAAGAACTGTTTGGTCATTTTTCAGCCAGTCACTGTGAAACAAAGCAGTTTGAACGGTGATCACCTAGGACTGTAGCTGTGCACTGTGTCAGTGCTCTGAGAGAACCAGAGAGACACTATGTGTGAGTCCCCTGTATTTGCTGTGTGGTGTTCAGCCGGACCTCGGTTTTAATTCTCCAGCAGTTACGTTTGTGGCCACATGGGGGCGGTAGGTCCACGCTCAGTGATGGAGCTGCTGCTCTGATGATGAACAAATGGAGTCAGAGGCACTATAGAGTCAGTTTGTGTGATCTCACCCCTCAGCAGCACTGAAGAAATGAAATGAACTGACTCTCAAAGTAAAACCGGTCTGGAAAAAATACATAATGTGAACTGTGTGTAACAAATATCCAAAATGTGTTGAATGTGATCGAAATTTCTATTTGGAAAGAATCTAACGGAGTGTTTTTAGAGCCTAATAGTGAGAAGGACAACTGGGGTGCAGCCTCGGCCCAGCTGTGCTTCGAGGCTGCTGCAGTCTGAATCGAAACTCATCCTTGAGATGAGCATTGATCAGCTCTTTATAACGGTTTGCTCTGCAGCTGAATGCTCTCCACGTGGTTATTTTGAGAGGCCAGTCACAGGCTGTGGGTGTTTCTGATGCACATACTGGACCCACATGATACAAGAGCTGTCAGCTCCTTTGTCAAGTCATCACATTTTGTGTTGTTACCCTGTTGGATGGGCGTCCAGTGAATGATCGTTCTGCAGGGAGGTCATGGTCAACTGATACCACACTGCTCCCCACTGCTGTCATTAACTACTGCTGTTAATCGGTTAATCGAACACTTAAGATTACTTTGTTGCTGCAGCAGCTGCTTATACAGATGAACAGAAACAACACTGTACTGTATGTCAGGAGTAATATGAGTTTAGTCTAAGTTCTATAACATACAGTACATTATATAACATAAAGGGAGCATCGATGCATTAGAGTAGGTCTTTATTTTGATTAGTGTATAGCTGTGGCCAGGTCAGTGCACATATTTTGGTTACTACAGTAATACTGTAAAAGAGTAAGTGTTAAATTGGCAGCGATACACGGGTAGGGCCCCTGGAGGTCTGAGCATGGTTTGGAGACACATGAAGGTCCTTCAAGCAGTAATAATAATAATAATAACAGTTCAACACAGAGCCATGATTTCAGCCACAGCAGTCAGTGACTATATCAGTATCCGGCTCTGTCAGGCCATAAACAGCGTGTCAGAGGAGCGGAAGTGAGGGGCCCAGGGTACAGAGTCCCGGGGCCACTGCTGCTGGCCAATGAGAGGCACGAAAGCAAACGCTATTACAAAACTGAGCTGTGTCAAGCTACAGAGAAACAGATAGACGACACCTGGTAAATTTTGAGGCTTTTATTTCAAAATAAGAGCTTGATTTTTCCCCATGTCTGATGGTTTAAAACAATGCACTTTGGAATCAGAGCATTTGTGTTTACAGCAATAACCAGCGTTGGCAGAGCTATTGTGAAATAACAGCTTTACACGCTGCCAATTAGGAGGTTGAACTACAGCAAAGCTAGAAATCTGGTTAAAACTCCTTAAAAGTAGGTGTTTCCCCCACACAAAAAGGGGGGAAAGGATTTTAATTACTTCAGTCATTGTGCAAAGCTGAATGTAATTCAACTACCAGCAAACTTCTGCAAAATGTTGTTAAGCTGCAAGTAAAATTACATCTAATCCACTGGACATTTATACAAAAACACGAAGCTGTAAATGCTGTGGAGCGACAACCAGCTCGGTTAGCTTGGCTTCTCAGTTTTAGGTTTTAGGTTTTCAGCTAAACATGAGGAATAAATATTAGTTCCTGGACTATTTTCACACGTTCTAGGCTTTAAAAAGACTTTACAAAACACTACAACCAACAGTGTGGAAGATGTAGATTGTTTAACACAATTTATCTTTTATTTTTTAAAAACTTAATCAAAACTACAAAAGTAATGATTCATGTATATCATATTATTTGATTATAAATACTGATGCATTACTATGTTCGTCACTTCAGTGTTGCAGCTTGTAAAGGTGGAGCTGAGGTTACTATGCACTTTACATCCTGGGCAGCTGGTGAGTTTCCTGAGGGTCAGTAAAGTCACACTGTGTTTTCTTTTATTCATCTGATTCTGAAAAGGAAGAGGCTTTGTCTCTGAAATGTACTGAAGTCCACATGGGAAGTAGCACAAATGTTCAAAGTTGCATCATAGACATGTTACAGGCGAGTGAGTCTTCATCTGAAATAAAAAGAGTAAAGTATATTTTTCTATTATTTGTTCCAAGTTTGTTCACATTCCTATTCTGCGTGAGCCTTCCCTGCCAACTTTGGTGTACAGAATAAGAGCTGTGGTCCTTTGTGGCAGTGCAGATTTTATTTACAAAAGCGTGCGCGGAAGCGAAGGTGTGTAAACGCCGCAGCTTGACAGCTGCTGCCTGGAGCCGGAGGGCGGCGGGCGCACAGGCAGTGAAAGTGAAGGCGGAGACCAGCTCAGTGTGGAAAACTCAGCCTCTTCTGGATCACGTTCAACTCCACTGAACAACCCCAAAACCGATCCAAAAAACGTAAGACCTGAAGAGGAAGGAAGACAAGAAAAAAGAGAAAAAAGCGCAAGGTGTTCCTAACTTCTTTTCACCGCAATCTGCCAAGAATTGTCTTCCGGTGTTGACTTTTTTTTGCGAGCACCGCAAGAGAAAAAGCCTCCAAAGCACAAAGTTGAACGTCAGAAATGTGAAGCTATCGGCTTGTGTGTGTCAACCAGGCTCCAGGATCCCCTATTAATCCATGCAGTACAGTGCAATGGTACGTGAACATGGATTATAATGCTTTTAAATGTTGTGTTACCATTTGTTGTCATATACTATTTGTCCTGTTCGCGAAGGCGATTGAGAAATACGGAGAAGTGGGTTAACTTAAGACGAACCACAACAGTGGCACGGTCGGGGCCAAAACTGCAGTGCACTTGGCACAGATTCTCCCAGTCTATGTTAACATCACGTTCCCTTTAATTTGGCAAACGAACTCTGTGTTGACAGCTCTGTAGGACACACACACGAACACACACAGTAACAGTGTTTAACTTCTAGTCCTTCCAGCAAAGTGCTGCTGGAGCTCAGTCAGGTCTGAGCTGTAACTTTTCTAAAGGTCATTCAGGTGTTCGGGTGGAGGAGGCCCTCTGCCATAAGATGGTATAAAAATACATTTAAAACAATTTATCTCTGTAAACTAATTGTAACGTGTCCACGTTTGAACTTCGGTGTCGTTCTTTACCAGTTGATACAGACAAATTCTGCAGTAAACAATAAAATGAACTGCGTTATTCTCGGGGTTTTTCCAAACTCGCCGTGTTTTATGTTCCTAAAACGTCCCTTGTTTTCTGTGTAAGATCTTTTTTTTATCGGGGTTTATTTCAGGAACCTTACCAGAAAATGTTCCTGTTGTTTTTTGTGATAATGTTTTTGACAAACTAAAAAGAGCCAAAGTTAGTTTATACTGTGAACCACACACACTGCCTTCAGTTACCTGCACCGTAAACGCGCGTTTTGTGGGCGCGGAGCTCGGGGTAAAGGGGCCAGATCTGCGGAGGGAAATTCGCCTTCTCTGTCTCTATGTGACCGAGGCTGCGTCCAAAGTCCCCGAAGCGCATAAAATAACTGTGCTGGAGTGAGGAGGGTCAGTGAACTGTGCGCTGTGTGCACATAGCCGAGGAGAAGAAGTCGGACGGTGGATTGAGGTTGTGTGTTTGAAGAAGGAGGAGGAGGAGTGTGACTCTGTAATTACGTGGGTGAAAAAAAAAAGTTGGGTCTGATTTGCTGGAATCGCGCAGGAGCGAAGGTGCACCGGTCGATTTCATATCAAGTTTAGTTAAAGCAGGGGTGAGCACCACACGCTCAGCGCGCTCGGAAGCTCCTCACAAAGCTTTTATGAACGAGATATCATTGCACCGAACCACGCAAAGAGCTCGTGTGGTAAAGGAGGACGCAGCAGCTCCGTTTGCACCGGCTCCACGAGGGCTAACTGTGCCTGCCAGCCTTTGAAAAAAATCTGCATAAGATCTCCTTTTGTCTGCGGAGAGGACAATCTTTGGATCGCAAAAAAATTCACGGATGTTCTTGGATAATCTCTTTCTGAATTACGCGTCGCCTGGTGCACATCGGTCCAGGAATGGCGCGATAAAGTGATCAGTGGAATCAGTCCAAGTACAGTCACTTTGTGTGTAGCCGTCTCGTCATGTATTCCCCGATTTGCCTTACTCAGGTATTTGTCTTTTTATATACATTTATTTGCCATGTTTTGCCTATTTTTTACCGAAATTGCAGCAGGTAGTGGCCAGTGAATAGAAAGTTGGGAGTGCGCGCCAGGATTTTACAGAATATCTGTGTGTGTGTGAGAAATACGTTCATAAATTATAGCAGTAATGCAGTTTGCTGGTGTGGCTGAAATATAGCACCGAATTAACCAAAATGTGAGTTTTAAATCCGAAACGCGCACATGTGCGCCACAGTTTTTGGTGATATTTTCTTGACAGACATTAGATTCCAACGAAAGGAAAAATCATAAAATATTTCATTAGAAGTGCAGGTCTTTCTGTGTTATTTGTGCGCGTAAAGTTGTGCGTAAAGGTGTTTTTTTTAACGGTTATCTCGATAATGCTGTTTAATTAGTACAACTGTCTCTCAGGTTTAATTAGGTTATTGGCTTCCTCCAGTAACCTCACAGACACTTCTCGGCTTTGCCGGAACTTTTTTGTCCTTTCTTTTTCCAAGTGTATATTTTTATTTGGAGTTAAACCTCTGTACTTGAGGGAAGAGCAGCTGGAAGAAGATAAAGCCACTTTCAGTGTAGGAAGATCAAACGCGCGATAAGGTTTGATTCAGCGGCTGGAAAGAGTAGCAGACTGTTTTTGGCTGACTCAGTTTTACTGTTTATATTTTACTTGGCATAAGTAAGTGATTGACTGAGATGTGGTTTAGTTTGTACTTAAGAGGATTGTGCTTTTATGGCCTCAGCTGAAGTACGCTGTACAGGCTCTGGCCAAGTCATTTATCTTTACAGCCTCTGGATTGAACCTGCTTGAAAAGGAAAATTTAATGGAATATTTAAGTTAAGTGTTTTTGAGCAGGAAACCAGAAGTGAAAAGGATTTCAGAAACAGATGCTGATGAGCACGTTTACTGCTCATTTCTGTCACTTTAATTGTCGACTTTATAGTGAGGACATGACATTTAAAGGAGTCCTGAATTTTTCCTTCTCTCTCTGTAAAAGCCTATGGATACAGGATCCAGAGTAAATGTAAAACATTTACCAGCTACAAGCTGCAGTGAATAAGAAGTGCATTCACAGTGTATAATATTGATTATGATTGGACAGTGAAGCAGAGTTTCCCTGGCCTGACGGAGCAGCAGCAGTCAGCAGGCGCAGATAGGGAGTGAGTTCTGTGGTTTCCTATAACCTGCCTGCCTCCAAAAGGAACCCTGTGCGGTTTAACTCTTCAAAAGCCCGCTCACAGTGCCTGCTGATAGTTATTACCTTTGACATTTTAATGCCATGAAACAATCATAAAGTTTCCAGTCCTGGCTCGAAGCTAAATCATCCGTCCTGCACTGTCCTACACCTACACAGCTTTAAGAGATTATTAGAATTTATTTTAGACTTACTGGAGTAATATTTCTGTAAAAGGCCAGTGAACTGCCAGTGTTGTGGTTTAATTATTTTAGTTAAAGGATCAAGTTTGATTCTCTCAAACAGAAGAATTAAAGTTAATGTTGTAGAAAGCTTAGAATGAACACAACAGATTGTTTAAAAAATAAAGTTTCCACTGATCTTCAGTGGAATAACTGAGCATTTGTTAAAAAAATAAGTGTGTAAAAAATGTTTTTAAAATTAAAACTGAGATGAAGATTTTAAAAACAGGCCGGGGTTTTAATTTCATCGTGTGTTTGGAGAGAAGCAGAGCGAGTGTCGTTCCTCCACATTTTAAATTAACTGGCAGGAACTTTTCATCCACTCACTCTTTACAAATACCTCTCACACCTCGACTTCGGCCTTTCTCTTCTGCTTGTGTGTTCAGTGCATTTTGTGCACAAGGCTATTTGTATGTACTGGAGAATGGGAGTCTTCTTCCTATGTAGTGACTGCGGCCCACTTGGCCCTCCAGCTTGGCCCCCATGACCAGGGGATAAGTTCCTGTTGGAATGTGGACAGTTTGATAAGAGAAACGTGACTGAGAGGGGCGCACGCTCTCTGCAGCAGCGGCAGCTCAGGAGTCCCGCTCGGGAAGGAGAGCGGAGACGTGAGTGTGTTTGGTGCTGGTGTAGCGTTGGCAGTTGAAATAAACACTGGAATCTTCCAGTCAGACCTGCAGCATGTCCGGATACAACCAGGATGGTAAAACCAGTGATGCTCTGTGAAGAGACACGTCTCGTCTTAGAGCTGTTGACGGTTCCAGTGTGATATTATGTGACTGACTATGAGGAGTTGTTTCTTTGTTGTCTGACTTCCCTCCGACCTCAGACTAGTAGCTGACTAAACCAGTGTTTCTTCTCGTTGTTTGATGAAATGAGTTTCTGATGACATTTCTCTCCTTCTCTTTTCTCTCTCCTCGCCATGTCCCTTGGATGCTCCAGGATGAATTTCATCCCTTCATCGAGGCGCTTCTCCCTCATGTCCGTGCCATCGCCTACACATGGTTCAACCTCCAGGCCAGAAAACGCAAGTATTTCAAGAAGCACGAGAAGCGAATGTCCAAGGACGAGGAGCGTGCGGTGAAGGACGAGCTTCTGAGCGAGAAGCCTGAAGTTAAGCAGAAATGGGCGTCCAGGCTGCTGGCCAAGCTGCGTAAGGACATTCGGCAGGAGTACCGGGAGGACTTTGTCCTCAGCGTGACGGGAAAGAAGCACCCTTGCTGTGTCTTGTCCAACCCAGACCAGAAGGGTAAGATCCGCCGGATCGACTGTTTGCGACAAGCCGACAAAGTCTGGCGCCTGGACCTGGTGATGGTCATCCTCTTCAAAGGCATCCCTCTGGAAAGTACAGATGGCGAGCGCCTCGTCAAGTCTCCGCATTGCACCAACCCAGCACTTTGTGTCCAGCCACACCACATAACAGTATCAGTCAAGGAGCTGGACTTGTTTCTAGCATACTACGTCCAGGACCAAGGTAGGTTCAAGCTCCCACTGTGTTTGTTTGTTTCACTGTGCGTCTGACTGACGGCTTGGCAAGGTCAAGGGTCACATGTGTTACTGTTTGGAAGCCTTTTCGGGCCTGGCTGTAATCACCACTGCGCTTGCCAGAGAAATAAACATAACAAACTTGATAGTCAGCACTGTATATAAGCAGCGTACAATTTGATATGCTTCGTTGTGGCTCATTAATAAACACAAAGGCAACGTGTAATCAATATTAAATGTTTTCAAGGTGTGTCTGCTCTGCTGTAGTCCAGCAGCAGCAGGGTGTGTGTTGACACACACACACTCTGTGCACCTCCTGTGTTTGTCTGGATATTAAGTTGTAACTTTGGTCAAAAGTAGCAGTAAGTTAAACACTGTGGTATAAAGCAGTAACACAGGATTCAGTTTTTTTATTATTAACAGTATATTTTTAAACACTTTAAAATCACAGCCTTCATCTCCAAAGTCACTGTAATATAATGTAAGTTTAGAAATGTTTCTGTTGTCAATGACAAAAACCACATTAGTTTTGTTTTAAAAACAATTTACCCCTGTTAAAAACCTACTGCAAAGTTACTGGTTGTATAATACCTCACTGTAGCACTAAACATGAGAGTAATTTAATATTTTAACCCGTTTTCAGTTTTTAGTTTTAAGTGTGTATGCGATAAATGTGTGTGAACCTCTGGTTTCTCTTAATTTCTTTTTTCAATTCTTAAAAATCTGCGTTTGTTTGATGAAGTACTTGTGTAAACTTTTGTGAGTGGTGCTTTTTTTTTGTTCTGCACAGTGTGAAACCGGAGACTGAAACACTTGACGGGTGCTGGAATAGGTTTTTTTTTTTTGTGCACATGTGTAAAATGTTACAGCTTCTTCTCCCCCAAATTAAATGGTTATAATTTATTTTTGCATTTGTATACAACTGACATGGTGCAGCACACTAGTTAAACAGTGTCATTTATGGAAATAATCGCGATGATGTCCAACACTGAAAGCCAGAATGTGTCACTGGAAACTCTGGTCGAGGAGCTGCTGTGCAGGGCACGAGTCGCCGAACCGTCTACAAACCAGTGGAAAACACAGTGAATGTTCGGCCAGAGTTCGATGACAGAATTATGACGTTTGCCCAGTGTAAAAAGGAGCGGAACGGTAATTAAAGATCAACGTTGCACAGGTTCTGCAGAAAATATTGTTTAGGAAATTGTGAATTTTCTAATTAATGCTGTTTTTTTTTTTTAATTTTTAAAATTGAACATCAGGTTCATGATTGTTTTTTTCCACAGAATTTAAGGCTGACATCTTTAACAAAACAAAAAAGATTTCTCCTGCAGAAAGGTTTGTTATATAAATCTCAGATATTGACAGTGCCCCCCCCCCACCACCACCTCCCACGGTTTTCCATGTTGAAATTCCCCTGTATTAAATCCGTCGTGGCAGCACGGAACAACCACCACTACTGTGCTGCTGAGGGGGAGATGGTGCTAGAGCTAGCTCATTATGATCAAACCTTGAGCGCCATTTTGTGTTTGGTAAGTGCCAGGGAAAGCAGAAGGCACCGCACAGAGACAATAATGGTTGCCAGTGGCACCGGGTTTGGCATCACACTCTCTTTTGTGTCTTTTGTAGGATGCCACCGCTTGTCCAGTTTGCATCTGCTGCATTTTTAACTGTTCAGTACCAACTTGAGAATGGCTCTTCTTTGCTTTTAAATAATATACAACATTTAATGATAAGTCGGTGCTTGTGTTTTACCTTGTGGATGGTAATTTACCAGCTCTTATTTTAAAATGTGTTTTTTAAATTAGTGTTTAAATTGTGAACCAAATGTTTTTCTCTTTGAATAAATTCGGCCTGATTCACCGTTGCAGTTGGGATCAGTGAGTATTTACTGTTGTCTTTGAAATTTCTGTTGGTTGAAACTTTGGCAAATACAAAATAGGATTCTTCTCCTGAGACCACAGAGACTGCGACGCCCCCCTTTTCATTTTTCCAAGCTAAAGCATCTTTTCTTTTAGTTACCAAGCAGAGCCCATCTCCAGACAATGCAGCCATATTGTGGTAGTGTGCGGTGCAGCGCCATTTTGTTTTGCACTGTGCCAGGGAGGCAGGCAAATCACCAGTAATGGTTGTTAGAGGTTCGGAGGTTGGCATCAAACCCTCTTTGTCTGCTTGCAGCATGCCTTTGATTCGTTGGTTGGCATCCGCAATGCAGTGGGCACGTTGGAAAGTTTTTGACAGTGGCAGAATGGAAATCCACTGCCTTTGTTCTGCTGCAACTGCACGAACCAAACAAACTGAATCAAACACAAAGAAAGTAGCAAACGGCTGAAACAGAATCTGGTGTTTGTGTGAACTGCTAGAAAAAATGGATCCAGACTGTGCTTTTAATGTTGCTCTGCTCTCTGGCAGCGGCTCGCTTCTGCTGTGTTGTTGGGCGACATAAAATATGTTGCCGCCGTTATTTATTTACTCAACAGTATTTTTGTTGTTATTTTTCATGGTAAAAATCAGTGTATTAGTGGTGGGTTCTGGTGGGCTGCTGCCTGAGAGAGGTCGTCTGGTTGGCAGAGAGTGAGCTGGGTGAATTTAGAGAGGCCACTCAGCCCCCTTGTTCTGGGGCGCAGACGCGTTCAGCCAGGCAGGGCTGTAGCACCCATGTGCGTGCCCAGATGAATGCCTGCTGGGAAGTAGGCTGGGGCTGGGAGTGGGGGCTGTGGCATCCATTGTGCCAGCGGGAAGGCCGTGTTCAATACAGGACCCTGGCTTCACATGCACGGTTGTACTTCAGTATGCACAGCATTTTATCTTCTGTCTCATGAAACAAGAAGTATATTTCTTCTCTGCATATCCAGTTTGACGGCTTGATGGGATAGTTGTAACAGGGCATGTAGATAATTGTCGTGCTGGGGCATGTTAGCATAGTGCAGGCCTCGCTGGTATTGGGTTGTGTGAAGCTGCTCATCACTGTTTCCTCAGCAAATGCAGTAACGTGGTTATTACATTCTACTCTTCGTATTTCAACATCTTCTTCTTAGTCCACATGCAATTAATAAAATATAAAGATAATTTAAAAGGAAATGTGATAAACAAGCAATACACAACTTCAATTATAAATATAGCAGGAGGAGAGAAGGAACAGGAATGCTAGTAGAAATTAGAAATTGCTCCTGAAAATACATTTTCTCATGACCATGGACAGAAAGGAACTGCTAAGCGGGTCCAATGGGAGACTGGAGGAGTCAAGGTCAAGCAGCTTCTCCATTACTCTAGTGCTGAAAGTTAACACTGACATAAAGCATCATTACCTTGACTCCCCCTCCCCCTCAGTCACGTCATTTTTTTTCACACCGTCATAATAGTTTGTGGAAGTGGATGGATTACCTCTGAGTACACGCTGCCGTGATAATGGAGACCTTGTTTTACGAGCACCGGACTTAACCCTTGGCCCCCGGGGTCACGACCTTTGCAGAGAGATGTGGCAGGGCGTCCTCTGAAGTTTAATTGAGCAAAGCAGATCAGTGAAAACGTGGCATTGCAGGCCCGGGGCACGTGGAAGGGGAAGAGGTTTTGCTTAGTTGTGGTGGTGGTCAGGGGAGGAGGCAGGAGGAGCTACTGCTAAGCCCCCCTTGTTGACCTCCTCAATCAGGGTCAAACCGTGGCGGTTGTAGGGTCTCTTGGCAACCACTCCGTCTGGTCCGGCTGGTGGTCCTTTGGTTCACCGGCCTTAGTGAGGAGGAGTTGGTGGCACTGACTCCTCCACACACCTCCTCACCCCCCCCTCCACTCCCTTAGGCTGGTTAGCCTGGCTGGTTCCTGTCTTCAGTAGCAGCCATTGCCTGCTCATCTCGCTGCATGGGGTAGCTGTTTGCATCTTGTTTTCTGCCCGGCTGCTTCGGAGGCTTTGGTCCGGCGGCCAGAGCGGAGGCCTGACCTTGTGGGTCACAGTGGAGGTCTGTGACTAAGCACAACATCTAACCCTCCCTCCCTACATCCCCTTATCCTCCTCTGCCATCAGGAATCACCCCTGTGGCACACTGCCGGGCCACATGACTCTCTCACTCCTCTCTCCCGGTCTCTTTTCTTTTCTCACTCCCTGGTTTTCCCTGAAGCCCCAGACTCTGACCATGACAGCTGTCCCAGGCCCAGGCACTCGGCCAGAGAGAGAACGGCTGGGTTCAGGCCAAAAGTGTGAAACTTGTTGTAAGCAGACAGCGTTGTAAAGACCCTACTATTAGTTCTTTTTTTGGGGTTGAGTTTTCCAGCTCCCTTTAATTCCAGTTTTATTGGGGAAGGTCTGAGAAATGGTTCTTCTGTAAGTTGAGTGGAATTTTATTCTCAGACATGAATTTTAGCATTGTACATCAAGACCGTAAAAAGAAAGCCTTTATCGATGACTCTGGAGCCATATAGAAAAACCCTTCAGAGTGAACTGGACAACCCTGTGCTTTGCTTCTGTTCTGGCTTCCTTATTAGTATGCAATAGAGCCTGCGGTGTCTGGCTACCTCTCTCTCAGAGCCATAACCTATCGAACACATTCTCTCAATCTAATACACTTAGAACTCCCTCCCAGCTTCACCGCCTGCCTTATTGATTTCCGCTTCCCACTAAATGTCTTCCCGATCCTTCTTCTCTTAACCCAGGAGCTATTTGTGTTTTGCAGCTCTTTCCTTTTTGCTTTTCTTCTTTTTTCTTTCCTTCTTGCTTGCTTGCTTTCTTTCTCTGTTAATGTCTTCACTCCCTCTCCAGGATCATCACTTGTTTGTGATCTCCACCTGACTTTCCTCTGCCTTATTTTCCCTCCTGCCTTTTCTCAAACACTAGCTTGGGTGCAGTGCAGCCAGGTTGCCTGGCTCAGTATGAAGCTTGTGTTTTTAGCAGCAGGGTTTTGCTTGAGCAAATACCTCAAGGCTTAAACAGGCCATGTTACCTCCTTAGCCCTCTTTTGTGCACCATGTGTACATAAATCTCCATGGAAACAAGGCAACTTA